AATTCTTCAAGACCTAACCCTAGTCTATTTCCTCCATGAAGTTTCCCCTACTATTATATCCAACCCTGTGTGTGCATGTACTCTCTCTCCCTTCCCTACTTTAGTTCTTGTAATCAGCATCTTACAATTAAATGCTTTCTTATTTTCAACTTATTTGACATGTATGTATGTTTTCTTCCAAACCAGAACATACGCTGCACCAGTTTAGGCACCATATCTCATAATACATTTGGGTTCTGCTACCAAGCCCGGGAGAGTACTCAGTGCAGTGGGTAACTGGTCGCTTATTTAGAATTTAGTTCTAAGTTAGAAACTCTGCTGATTATTCCAGCTTAAGTTTTATAGACACCTGGCACAATCACAAATACTGGTGTTATTTCAATGTGATAGCCTATGACTGTGTATTGAATCTGCTTTTGCAGGAGAAAGATCTCTGAATCATTTTACTTTTATCATTTTACAGAGTAGAATTCCTCAGGAATGAAAGATTTAATTTCCTTTATTTTTTAGTCCAGTTTTAGGGAAGCACAAGGCTATTCCAGGTATGTAATGAGGCGAGAGCCTCTCATTACTTTATCCATATTCTGCATCTTCAGGAAATCTCTGCTAGTGCCAGTGAATAACAGTTCCTTTCCATGGCACTAAGGAGATTGGAGGGAAAATGCCAAAAAGCACATTTATACAATTCAATTATTCCCCTGATGAAGAGAGAAACACATAATTTTGGTTGAAGGAAACCTGGTTTAATAGTCACTTCATTCTCTCAAAAGGTTAGAGTATCATATTTTTTAAATAGAAATTACATATTGCATTGACAAAGCAAACCTTAAGAATTTTGAATAGTAGAGAAAACCAAGTGCCCCAAAGCATATCTGAATGGATGAGTCACTATTATTGATCTAAAATACACACACACACACACACACACACACACACACACACACTCTCCACTAGTATTAGGTCTCTACATCTTAAATTTTATGAAAGATACAGCTTTTGAATCTTGCCCAAATAATGTAAGTAAATAAAGGTGGAATTAGAATTTCCCCTTTCCCTCATCATATACATACCTACACACCTACATGTGCACACATAATATTTGTTTTAGACCGTAAATGTAATCTAGGCATTACAAATAGTTCCTATCCAATTAACAAAACTGGTCATGTCAATCTAAATATTACACCAAATTGTTTCCAACACCCTGTTTTTCCCTTTGTATGTGGACTAGCTATAAGAAACTAGTTCACATGAGGTAGCCACCCATCACCATTACTACATAATTTAGAAACATATGGTAGAACTTTGCCAGGCCAACTTGTAGGTTTTCACTCTATCATTCTGATGAAAGAAGGGGAAGAAAAAGCAAAGAACTGTTGTCATTTATAAGATGCTGAAACATGTTGTGACAGTCTGGTGGGGAGATTTTTGTTTTGGTCATAAGTTATCTTTACCACCATGTTATATTTAGATTCAGAGTAATGCAAGCAAAATAGACTGATAAATGATAAAATAATTATTTTTCAAATAATTTGTTTAAAGTCTCCTCTTTTAATTGGGAAGATTGTTGGAATGCCCAGGTACTCTTTTTCTCAGTATAAGTGAAACCAAAGTAATTATCAAAATTTTCCAAACAATGGCACCTTTTTCCTCTGCTCCTTCCTGATTGTTCTTCTGGGCTAGAACTTTTTTTTTTCTTTTAGTTTGAACCACATAGAAAGCCTGATACAGTCTGGTGTTTAGATTTGCCAGATAAAGCCATCTCTCTCCTTCCTATTCTTTGTGAGGTTACCAGCCTAATGTCTATTTTGTCCATGTCAAGTGTTTGATAGGTGCCTACAGGAGGAGGGGCAGCCCTCTTTCTACTCAAATAGAAATAACTATGGGTAAAGAGGTACACTTGACATTGTCAGGGTGCTGGTGTTCTGCTTTATCCTAGAATTTTTCTAGCCAGTGCCTCACATTCAAAAGATAGAATTTGGAATCAGAATGTCCCATGCCTCAATTCCCACTCTTTTACCAATCTACATATGAGGGTACTTCAAAAAGTTTGTGGAAAAATAGAATTGAAGTATAAATCTTTCCACGGTCTTTTTGAAGTATGCGCGTAGTGTTTTAGGCAAATTACGAAACCTCTCAAGTCTCAGTTTTCTCTTCTATAAATGAGGATGGTAATTTGTACATTGTTAGGGTTATTAGGAAAATTTAAAATGATCAAAGAACAGAAAAATGAATTTAGGAAAAAACTAAGGAAATCTGAATTAACTACAGACTTTAGTTAATAATAATGTATGAATATTGGTTCTTTGATTGTCACACATGTACCATATTACTGTAAGATATTAATAAAAAGGGAAACCGAGTGTGGGGTATATGGGAAATCTTTGTACTAGTTTCTCAAGTTTTCAGTTAATCAAAAACTGTTCTAAAAAATAAGGTATTTTTAAAAAATGATTTAAGTGAAGTGCCTTGCACATAATTACCATTAAAAAATGGTAACTAGCATTATGATGCAGACTATTTGCTTTCATAAGGTGCATTATACTCTGTACAATATGATCTTTTCTTCATTCAGCAATTCCTTTTCATAGACAGATTTCTCTGACTCTCTCTCTGACCTCCATGTTACTATATCCTACATCCCTACATTTCTCTGGCTTTTTCTAGTTCATTTCTATTCTCCTACAAACTCATGTTTAGTTTACAACTAGTTTATATATCTTCAAAAGTAATTGTAGCTCATCAATTCTACGATCATGCAAACTTTTAAATTACTTTCAATGCTCAGTAATTTTTTTTATTAAGTGAGAGCCCAAGAAAAAGCAAAACATGCCTTTTATAGAAAAGCATTAAAAATTTAAAGATATAGCAATGGAAAAGCTTATTTTCTTTTGTAGTAAGGACATATATATTTAGCTTCCCAGTGTAACCAATAGCCCTGGGGAAGTTTTACCAGGATATGTACTCAGCAATAATTTGCTGCAATAACTAAGAATAGTGTAACCAAATGCCAGTGTTATCAACTTGTCGTGCAGTCTCTCTGATGTTACGGTCATGTGTGAAAACAGACCTTAACTACAAGTACTACAGCTTTGAATGGATTCAGGTAAAACATACAACCAGATCAGAAAAACTTGGCCTCATGATGATCTTTTTCAGGTGTCTGAGGTCCTGTTTAGGACTGGGTCTCTATCGGATTTCTTTCTTCATTCTACTGCTGAACTTAAGCATCTGTTCAAAGCACAGAGCTCTAGAGCCTTTGTCTGAAAAATGGAAGATTTTTTTCAAGTCACAACAGTTTTCATTGCCAAAGGAATAGGACACCTTTGGTTGGTGCTGTTACTAATGGGATAGATTTTAGAGGCAGAATTTCCAATGCTATAAAGACACAATTATCCTAATAATTCCAAGATGAAATTTGAAGTATCAGGCCCTTTGGGCCCAACATTCAACCTTAAAAGAATATCCAAAAAACTTGTTACTCTGAAGATACTTTTGCTCTACTGTAGTACAAGATACAGGTTGAAAACCCAATGGGCCATGGATAGGGATGGGGAGTGGTGTGTAGCCCACCTGCTGTCCCTCAAACAGGAAATGAATTTTGTTTTTTAATAAAACTGATATCCAAGCTTGTGATAGCTGAATAAATCATGAGTGCTGGGTTGTCTGTGTACACACGTGAGCAAAACAAACAGAGAAATCTGTGCTAACTCAGATAAGGGTGGATAAATACGGAAAAATCTAACACTCCAGCAACATATAACTGTGTTAAATGGCAGCAACCGAGAAATTAACTATTTTAAGGAACTAGTCTCACAACCTTGATGGGGTTGAGCTGGCTTCTCACATCGCCCCTCTAGGGGCTTGACTGGCTTTTCTGATAGCTCAAGTGCTGTAGATTCATTTAAGAGATACAGAACAGAATGCTGACTTTCTTCACTAACTCACTCCAACCGGGTTCCTGACTGCTTCCCATCTGGTCCTCAGCCATTGCCCCTCATCCTGTAGTACTCCTCCCACCTTCTCTGGTTGGAGAACAGCTGAGACACATAACAGCTTTTTTCCACTTCAAAAGCAGCCCGGAGCCGCCTCAGCCCTGCCCCAGCCTCCGACACAAAAAGCTTTTGATACCTATAATTGTAAGGCTTTTTGCAGCTGCACTTTATCAAGGCAGCAGTGGCAGGGCTTGGAGGGCCTCCGCGAGCCAGAAGGTGGCGGCGAAGTCACCTTGGGAAGAGAAGGGAGGGTCAAAGGGAGGAAGGTAGAAGGGCACACCAGAGTCTTAGGATCAAAGGGCGTGCCCCTACTCTGGGGTCAGTGAAGGAAGACAAGGGACTGGAGAGAACTCCAGCTACAGGGAAGCAGTGCCCGAGGGCCCTTAGGCGACCCTAGTCCGTGATCAGCTGACCCGGCCAGGGAAAGGAGGGTGCCCTTCGCAGAGTCACGGGAAGCTTCGCCTTTCGGGCTTGCCTTCTCCGCCTGCCCTTCGGTTGCTCGGTGCCCCGGCGAGCCGAGCGCTGCTCCAAGGCGCTCTTCTCCCTCCACACCGGCGCCCCCACCTGCCGGGGACCCCGCCCGCCGAGCGCACGCCCAGGAGGGCGGGCCCGGAGCTGAGCGCAGTCGCCGGCCGCTGGAGAGCGCTGGGAGCCCTGCAAGCGAGCAAGGCCTCTCCGGGCGCCGCGGGCTGCAAGTCACGCCCGAGCCTCCCGGGCTACAAATCGGGACCTGCCTGCCTCGCTCCCCTGCGCTCCGGGGCAGGGAGGCCCGGGCACGCGGCGCTCCAGGCCCCTCTCCGGTCCCAGGCAGCTCCCGGCGCGCTCTGGACTGGGCTGGGCCGAGCCCGGCCGAGGGAAGGAGGCCTCCTCGTAGCCCCTTCCCCAGGGCGCGGTCTACACCTTCTTCCGCTCCTCCTCGCCAGCTGCGCCGCCAGCTCCCATTGTTCGCCCCGCCCGCCCGGCGACGTCCCGGCGCTGCTCCCTGGGCCTCCCAGGCGCACCTACCTTCTGCTGCCGGCGAGCCATGTCGGTGGGCTGCTTGGCGTTGAAGGGGTAGGCGATACAGCGCATCACGAACACATAGAGCTGCAGCCTCTTCTTCCTCTCCTCCTCCTCCTTCTGCAGCCGCTCCAACTCTTCCTTCTCCTTCTCGCTCACCACCGACGGGCTGGGGCTGGAGGGCCGGCCGCCGCCT